AGGCTTTATACTTTTCCCAACGTTGCTCTTTATTATCTTTAACCTAAAAATATCCGATTAGAAAATGGCACAGGAAGGTTAGGCCAAAACCAACATTTAAACTTTTTTGAGCTCTCCAGGTGCATTCACTTGGGAAAACGAAACCTGCCCCTCACCCTTCCCCCCCCCCCCCCCCCCCCCCCCCCCCCCCCATTTTCCAAAAAAAAAAAAATGTCATCAGCATCGCTTCTTGTAGCGTCTCACTACGCGCGTGACGCTAGTACGCAGAGACGCCAAGATGGACGCGTCTGCAGCTTTGCGGCGTCTCTCATCGAGCTTCAGCGTCTTTGCCACTTGGGACGGGTGCGGGATCCACTAGCGATGACATCATCTTCAGGCCTCGTCTTTTAGCCACTAGGTGGTATCGGGACACGTTACAGGTTGTAGAACTTGGGTTGAGCACGCAATATAAAAATATGGTATTTTGCGCGCTTTGTTCGTTTTGCTGGTCTGAGCTTCCCCACTAGTCATTTCACACCATCAAACTTCTTGTAAGCGTCGGGAAGAACTTGTGTCGCCCCCTCTTCCTATTACAACATTTGACGTCACGTTTTTAGTGCTGCCAGCAGAGCCCCTCAACCTCACACCAAATCTAGAAAATCAACAACCTTCGTGAAAAAACGAACTATTGCGTGCGACTTGTAATACTAGTACATTAATGTGTTGAATAAATTTTGAGGCAAATCAGTGAGTGTGAACGGCCAAGAATGGACCCGGTAAATGCCACCGGGGCGACTCCGAGTTGATAAAAAAGAAAAGCAGCAAGCAGGGGTTTACGAGACCCAGATATGACCCAAATCACACTTGCTGAACTGTCGTCGACGAAGCCACTCTCTATGCTTCTGCGTTTTAGCAACACACACAACAAATTATGTTAATGAAGATTCGCTTACATGCAAGAAAATAGGGACAGTGGCAGAAAAGGTTCATGAGCGTTCGCAAACTAAGCACCAGAAAAGAAACGTTTCACAAGGAACATCTTTAAACTGTGACACAGTGACTGCAAAAGTACTGACATACTCTTTGATACCCCTTTCGAAAGTGAACGCTCCCCAGTAGCTGTTTTGAGACCGCCAGACTTAGGACACGCACTTTGTGCATACATCGAACACGAGCACCCGCGTCGGCGTTCGGCGCATACTCAGGTGCAAATCTATTCGACACGAGTGCTGCGTCTGCACGAACTCGGCTGCAGTCACATGCTTCGCGCAGGAAGTAATGCCCAAAATATGGCAGCCACCAGTGTTGCTTAAGCCTTTTGAAAAGGGCATATTACAGATTAAATACCGCAGTAATAACTACAAAATTTCGCTGTGCGCTCACAAGATCTGACAGCACGTTTTCGTTCAAATGCAGAAAGTGAGAGAAGCCCTAGAGCCCCAGATGGACGTCGACCAGCCCACAGACTTTTGGGAACCAAAGCCGCTGGTAGTCATCAACAACCCCAAGAATGGCGTTAACCATCACGCCTCGGTCCTCAAGAGCCACAGGTACAAGGGCTACAGCAAAGGAGACTACGAAGGCGAAACAGTCATCTGAAACGGGACACAAAACCTTTTTAGTGTCGTCTGCGTTTCAAGAAAGACCCAGCAGAGCCATGCCCACACCTGCTTGGAGAACTGCGAGCTTTCAACGCAGAGTTCACCAGCTGTGAAAGGAACAAAAACTGTCTCCATATCTTGAGATGTGCGGTATAGTTTATTTGGACTAGCCCATGATCATTCCTAAATGCCCAGAGAAATAACATTATGGTCTGTATTTCATTAAAAAGGATAAAAAAACGCATTGGAGGCAGAAAACGTCCTGTGGTAGAGCTTTCAAGTTGCAAACAAACCATAAAAATAGCTTCAGTCGAGCAAGTCCTTGAGAGAGACAGTGCTTTCCCATGGTAATTTTCTCGCCCACAGCTTCGCCATGTGACCAGTGCCGACATGCACCAGATGGTTAGGGACCGAATTACGACGAGGCCCAATTTTTTTGTGAAATTGTTCTTTCCTATATTTCTCATTCTCTACCCACTGTGCTTGTCCTCAGTTGTTGCACATCCTGAAAAGCTGATCAAGAGTTCGTAAAAACTCCAGCACAGTCTAAGGTGCAAAAAGGGTAGCACAGAGACAGCAACCTATTTGTACAGTGGAGCTATGACTAGGTTTTTTTTCTTTGTATTTCAAACATCGAAGAGTGCCGGTTACCTTCTGGAGCATTGCTGGCCTTGCGGGCTGGTATACTGGCCAGTGCCACTCTGTCGGCACCGGCTCTTGTAAGATAGGTGGATGGCAGCAGTTGATGTTCTTGCAGCTGCCTCTAAGAGGCATAAGAGCATTGCTTTCATACTCAGCTGGAGTGTAGGCAATAAATACCTTAACATTTGCAGACCACTGCCTCGTTCTTGGTAATGCATGTCTGTCCTCTATTTCATTATGAGAAACCTTGAGACCAGGAACAAAAGGGGACAAGGACAACACCGTCTCATATGAGGCGGTGTCGTCCTTGTCCCTTCGGTTCCTGGTCTCAAAGTTTCTCAACATGGATGTGCACCAGCTCGCCTGCATTTTTTACTCTAATTTCACTGTCCTTTAGTACGAGTTTAAAACCCGAACGATCTAGTACCACAAGTCAAGCTAGCAACCAGCACCAGCTTTACAAAAGCAGCCTTTTGGCAACCTAAGCAACAGCACCAAGTACCAAAGTATTAACAGAATCATGTGTTTGTTACGAGTTGGTGATACTCAAGTGTGAGAAAGGTTGCCAAGGCATGCAATTTGTCACGTCTACGAGCAGCTTGTGGGATATCTGTCCAGTAGGACTACAGATGAGGACCACATAATGTTTGCCCATGTCACTGGACCAAGTGCAAATATGATGAAAGTGATAAGATGCCACTAAGCTCGGCCCCAGTCTCATAAACCACCAGCACAGAACAAAGGGAGTAAATCATAGCACTGAACTGATAGGAACAATGTGGGTATGGTTCACACGGTCAGCACTCGGACTACATTCCGTTTCACCTTACAATGGACTGCAGCAGATGCCACAAGTCGTCCCAGTCAATCCAGCGCCATACACGTGTCATGAAACCACACATCACTGCACCCCCTTCCAAAAGTCACACGTCACTGACACAGCAATGGAATGGCTTCAATGGCCTGTAGTGCCCTCTGCGGTTCATCGCAAGGTGAAATGAAGTATAGGCACATTACACTCAACTTCAGCTACTTTCCTGTCTGTTTCCCTTGATGCAATTTAGCATTTTTAAATTAGCAGTGGGACGCCATAAATGAAGTTTGGTAAATACAATTTCAGGCAAAAGCAATAAGGACATACCTGCCAACCTGTGGACTTCCAAATTCGTAAAAGTCCCCACGGCTGCGGGGGGGGGGGGGGGGGGGGGGGGGGGGGGGGGGGGGGGGTTACGCGAAGCGCTTACATCACACGTGCACGTGCTCCAAAATCCGAACTTCTCTCGCTTTTTGGGCGGCACGAAGCACGGAAATTTCGACGTGTAGGACTTCAGGAATACCCGAAAGTACCTCTTTTGAAGTTTTGAGTTCAGCATTGCGCCGCGAAGCCAAAGTGACCAGGAGAATGCTACAGTTACACGTGCAACAAACACAGACGCCGTACTTCTCGCCTCGAAACTGACCGAAACAACGAGGCCCAACGACGTCTGAACACGCCGAACCAACGTGCACCCCTGCACCGCCGAACATACGAACAAAGGCTTTGAGCTTTGGATTGGCTTTCGATCCGTGGCCACCGGATAGACGGATAGTAAAAACCACGACGCTGCTGTGGACGGTACCTATCGTCCTCTTGTGGCGGTGAAGCTACCGCCAACAACGGAGTTACAAGACAAAAAGAAAAAAAATATATATATATATATATTTTTCGTAAGATTTGAGGCAAGATTCGTAAAATCGTAAAATTGGTCTCAATTCGTACATCTTACGAAAAATTCGGAAGAGTTGGCAGGTATGTAAGGATATACTGTTGGATGCTGCTAATCCCCCTGACAACTTAAAGAGCCCCTAAGAAGAAAAAAAAAAAAGAAAAGAAGTTTTTTTTAAACAGCTTGGTCGAAACACGCGTGTCAAAAAATAAATTTTATGCGAAAAAAAAATTTTTTAGAGCAATATTGACGGCGAGAGATTTATTTGAAATTCTGCGCGCGAAGTCCATGACATCAAGGGTCATTCCGGAATGACCATCTTGGTCGTGCAGGTAAAGTCGATCCACCTCTCCTCCATGCGCCCGAAATGCCGAGAGAGAAAACAAGTTGAAATGAGATGACTGCCGACTAAATCGTGTCTCGCGCCGTCAATATTGCTCTAAAAAATTTTTCTTTTTGCATAAAATTAATTTTTTGACATGTGTGTCTCAACCAAACTGCTAAGAACAACATTTTTATTTTTATTTTCAGAGGCCTTTTAAGATATAATTCTAAAATTAGTGAGCTAACAGTTACGATTTAGTGTCGCAATCACCGGAGAGTTACAGCCCACAATGTTCTGAGCAAGTATACTAACAGGCCACCAAAACTTTTGTTTGATCAAATGATATGAAAAACATATTCAGCTATAGTAGTCCATAGAAAACTGCCAGCAAGTACTTCAGACCGATATGCAGGAAGGTTGTGCAGCAGTGTTCAAGTCACTTTTATTTAAACCACTTTCAACCTGCTGTTCCCAAAATTGGTCTTTAAAGAATAAATATGTGCCAAATGCCCCCCCTTTCCCCACCCCTTCCTCTACTTCCTGGATTTCTGCTGTCTGAGCGAACGTCCTTCTCCAGAAAAGGCTTCGAACTGCTCTTCGTTCTTGCTCTGAAGAAAGGAACAGAAAGAATTGTGTACGGTAAGAGGTTCCTGCTTTTTAAAACTGTCTAAGATGCACCACGCCAGAAAGCAGCCCTGCGGCCACTGGTATTCTACATATGCATGCTTTTGGTATCTGATCTTACCTGTCTGCTCAAGTGGCAGATAAGTGCCAATCGAAATGTGCTTTCCTCAAACACTAGAATTCTCTATAGTCACCAACACATATTGAAGAGTTTAGTAGGCTGTTCTGATACCCCCATACCTGCTAAGTTTGGAGAAACTAAATCTGGGAGGTTTTCTAAGCCAGGTAGCAGTCTTTTTAAAAATAAATATTGAAAATGAATAGAAATAAAGACAACTTTATTACATTTGTATTGCACTGCTCATGCTAGCAAAATACATGGAGGGATGGATGTTGGATGTAAACGGCTGTACCCTTTCTAACGGGCGGTAGTTTGCACCACCTAGCCGAACTCTAAAAAGACAAACATATGATTCCTCCCACCCTTCTAAGCCAATTTTCTGCCCCTAACTACCACCAGGCAGTGTGTGATATCACTGGGATAACTTTTGGGAGATTGGGCAGAAAAATCTAAAAAAACATCACCCCCTGCTTCTTCCTCCCGGCGAGGGAGTGGTCACCTTGTCGGCGTTACCCCAGAACCGGACCCACAGGGGGACAGGGTTGAGACTTCGGGCTGGAGCCACATGGGAGGCAGTTCCAATTTTCCTGTCCCGCCTGCCCCCAGCTGTGCTAGTTAGTTGTGCATCATTTAATTTTCCCCAGATAATTTCCACCAATCTTCTAAGCACCTCATTGTGACTGTAATCCTTTTCTCTTCCGTCCTTTGCTCGTCGCCAGTGAAACCCAGGGCCCCGGCCAAATCGGTTACCCTTTTAGAGAGGGAAGGGCAAAGCCCCGTGAACTTCAAAACCAAGTGCTCTAGTGTCTCGCTCTTATTATGGCAGGCAGCACCTAATGTGTCTGTCTGCTGAAATTTGGCCCTATACGTTCTGGTCCTCAAAACTCTTGTTCTCGCCTCGAAGAGTGCCCACCGCGCATCATCCATTTTGGTCAACCTTTGTTCAAATTTCAACTTACTTATTGCCTACCTGCTCTCAAAAGACAACCAGCCCATGTCACCCTGTATTCCCTCATTCGGTGTCATTCCATGTGCTCCCAGTGCCAATCTGCCTAAGCTCCTTTATCGAATCCCTAATCCTGATTGAACCTCTGATTTCATGCACAGTACCCCATTGCCCAAAGACAGTCCTGGTACCATCACTCCTTTCCATATACCTCGGACCACTTCATATCTATTATAGTTCCATAGTGCCTTGAGCTTCCTAATAGATGAATTCCTTTTCCCTTTTCTAATTATATTCTCCTTTTTCTCCTCTAGATAATTTCTTCCCTCATTGAGCCAGACTTAGATATTTGCATTTTCCAACAAGGTGTATTACAATGTCTTGTATCGTCAGGGGTTCCCTCTTTTCGTTGTTAAACACAATTACAGCTAAGTCTCGCTATCAGTGTTGCCATCTGTTGCGACGGCAAACGCTTGTTTAAAGGGGGGTACTCTCGAACTTGTGAGCTACCATAACTAGCTATATTTTGTGAATGCCCTGCTTTTACCCTTTCCACTATAGTATTTAGTATCATGAAATTCACATTGGTTATTGTGAAATAGGCAAACGAAAATGATGCCAAAAACCAACATTCAAATATACCCGCTCTTTTCAGTGTTGCGACATCAAGGGAAGGCAGGCTAGCGGGTCGAGCGGGAAATTTAAAAAAAAAATGGACTCTGACGAGCATTTGTTTCGTGCTGTTCCGCCGGTGCCGGAGCTAGCTTCCAAAGCATTCATTTGACACCATCAAACTGCTTGCTATCAGTTGGGAACGAATTTACAGTCGAAAAAGTGGACCCCTGCCTTCCGCTGGTGTCACTTCTTCATTGTTGCCGGTAGAGACTTGTAGTTTAAAAAAAAGGGTAAGGGCCAAAAATCTAAATTCAATAACTTTGTAAAAAAAAAATTATTTCGGCCTAATTTTTGGGTTACTAATTTGGTGATGTTCCTTGATGTGTTAGGAAATGCCGGAGTGCAGTGGAGGGGGCAGTTAACATGCGTTTTGAGGGAGATTTTCTGTCAATCATAGAATCATACGAAATGGTCAAAATTCGGGAGTCTCCCGGGTAATACTAAGGGAGACTTGACAGGTGTGTACCCCGGATAAGGATTCCCGATAATGATACGATGCGTGCGCAAAGGTGGCGGCGGAGCATCGGGTATTGCTATTGGAGTCGTCGGAACCACCTACTAAAACTCCATTACCCCGAATTTCACTTAAGCTTTTGAATTTGTCTGGAAATAAAGCTTTAAATTTTTCTCAAGTTAATCTCAATGAACAGCCGCTGCTTATTAAGTGCTATCATGGAGAACACAAGCTGAAACTGTCCTTCATGCTTCTTTGCCGTACCCGCCAGTTTTTGAGAGAGCCCTGGACCGAACTAGGAACGGAGTGCGAAGTTGAGGTCCCATGCTTCAGACTCTTTGACAAATTGAGATGTAACGGTGCTCGTGGGAACCGCAGACGCAGAAACAAGCCAGATTGGGCGTTTCCACACGTATTGTCTGCCGGGGGAGTACCAGCAATTTTAGTCCTATATACATTTCTGAGCCCACACCAAAATGCTGGGCATTTCCTTACACTGTGTGCTTTTGGCCAAATCGGTTGAGGATATGCCAAGAACTTATGAAAGCCACAAAATCCTTTTGATACGCGTCAATTTGCAAACATCCCATCTCAGCCGCAAGCGGTGGTTCTAAAAAATGGGGGGTCCGCAAAGGCATTCTAGGGGTCGGTGAAGCCCCGCCTCATCATTCAAGCCCGGCAGTAAACATTTTCTTTTTAGAGTTAGAAGAAACATTGCAATCTTTGGGCGAGTTTTCTCGTTTGTAAGTCAATAAAAGAAGTTTACTTCACGCCAGCCCTTAGTTTTATCCATTTGTCAAACCATTATAATAATTAACCTATGACTTTCCCTTCACCACACCACGAACGGGGCCCTCCAACACCTCCGCCAACCCACAAAGGGTCCGCGAAACATCAAGGGTTGAGAACTACTGTTGTACAGAAACATAATGTGAAAGTTAGATATAATTTATGATGTACCGTAAAATACTGCGGAAGCGCCCACTTCGTTCAAGCGCGCACTATTAACCTTTCAAAAACTTGGGAATTCAGCAAATTACACGTTAACCACCCAATTTTATTGGACAAGTGCCCATGTCTAGATTAACCCAGTTTTCAGTAAAAGTTGGGCGGGTGCTCCCCGGTATTTTACAGTACTACAAACCAAGAAGTGTACATAGAGGGTGTTTAGTTTTAATTAAAACCTTTTTTATTATTTTTTTTTATTAAAGGGAGCGAGTTACGAAGAAGCTGTCTTCACTATGTGTTTATCAGGCTTGGCAGACATTAGATAAATGAATAACAGTCGCGGCAAGTGGGCAAATTAACTCAAACTTGTCAATGAACTTTCAATAGGTTCTATATCGGTCACGGTGCTATGGGAGCATTGACGGTAATCACTATTGCAATTTGCAAGACGGTAATGGTTTCTTTTAGATATTCATCCATCAGTTTTCCCACTTTTTTGCCAGATTCCAAGTATCTGTGCAAAAAGAGCACTACAAGCCCTGCCCTGCCCACTTTTCCAAGCAATGGTGCTTGGAAGAATGACATAGTGGTCGTTATAATCATGTCGTCACCATCTCGGAAGCACATACTTGGTGCATTTGACCACGGCACACTGTAGAAATGGTGGCCATGCAACTGAAATGATTGTGTCGCTCTCCTAAGCATTATCGTGGGCAGGGTTTGCGGTGCTCTTTTTGCACGGAACTTTTGGAATTGGGCGAAAAAAACGTGAGAATGGTTAATCTAAAAAAAAACAATTACTTTTTAAAAATTCTTTGAATTGTCCTGGCCTTTCAGAGTAAGTTCGATCAATACTGCAATTGCATCATGAGCAATAAAATCTATATTAAAAACAAATATTTAACAGATTTTAGTTAATTTGTCAACTTACCTCTCTTATTTGCTTATTTAATGTCTGCTGAGCCTGATATACACCTACATGATGAAGAGGACACCCGGGTAACTCATACCACTTCTATTTTTTTTAAATTTGTTTGAATTAAATTTAAGCACCCTGTATAATAGAGCTTCGAATATGTATAAAGACAAACACACCAGTAGTATATTTATAGTACTGCAGCCTTTCTATTGCACCGAATACACATAACACTTCACTGTCTGTAGAGGTGCCCATTAAATCAAGTGAACCCCCAAGAAAACCCATGATTCCAACTCACATCAGGATCTTCTTGTGCCGGTCTAGCTGTCCGTATAAATCGCAGCGTCCCAATTTCGTAGTCGTAGTCGGGAATGCCTCTGTCATGTGGAAACGTATAGAGTTCAGAGCTTCCTTAAATGCTCCAGTGACTATACTAGTAAATTTGCACCAGGTTTAAAGGGACACTGACAGGGTATTTATGCTCGCCAAGGTTTTTATTTGTACATGACATATGGGAACCCAACTACCCAGAACACAATTTGCGGCTCGAAATTAATTTTCTTTCCACCCGAAAACCGCCGATCGAGAACTGGTTGGTTTGAGTCGCGCTCACTCTCTTCTGCATGGTCACGTGCCGCTTTTCTATGGTTTAGACACAACCACCAAAGAAAATCAGTCATGGGTCATCGAAGGCAAACATTCGATACTAGAAATAGACAAAAAACAACCGCATCTCCACGTGGTGAATGATGTTGATTGGGGCGAAGCTTTGGTAATGCTTGTCTGCGTAGATGCTGAGCTGCAGCATGCCGGGCCGCGTATTGTGAGACCCCCCACGGCAAAGCCCCGCAAGAGAGAAAAGAAGGAGGGAGAGGAGGAAAGGAAAAAGGGAAGAATGCCGCGATTGGCTGGCGCAGTCACGTGGTACGCGCGCGCTACGGGCTGTTCTAAGCTGCGTGCAGCCCCCCTCCCCCCCGCTACCGCCGACGCGAGCAGACGCCCTGCCGTTTTGTTTTGGAGTACTCCACGCCCCAGTCGAAAAAGTGCATTGGTGCAGTCCTAGATATTGGAAGGTATCGTTACTGTGAAACTGGATAACATACGCGCACAGGTCTCAATGCTGACTGGGCAGCTACGCTACGGCCGTTTTATGCTTTCTGCCGTAACGTTCGCGTACTCCAGGGCGGAAGGGTGTGTTTAGGCCTAAGGACCCGTGACCGCTGCCAGCGTTCCGAAGTCATTTACGGCCTGGAAATAAACCCAGCTCGTTTGGCTTTCGCTAAAACATCCAGTGTAGCTAATGTTTTATTTCATTCGAACGACGCGCCGCTGCGGTGTTGTGTAGTCTGCCCTACAGCGATGCCCAACTCGCCGCTTGGCTGCATTATTCACGGGTGTAACATCATTCGCCCGTTGCTGGCCTCAACAGGAATCGCGCCAGGTACGTATGAGACGCCAACGGAGCACAAGCGGTGATCTGGACCGCGAGTGCACGTCTGAATTGTGCTTTGCATATACACTGTCACGCCTCTTCGAGAATCAATCGCGCTCCCCGCAGCTAGTCGAAATGGAGAAGTGCATTGTCAAGCCTGTAACCCTGCGGCGAAATTGATCTATACCCGATGTCAGCTTTTTTGTGCTCCACTGGAAACGGTACTAAAGCGTGAACGCAGCTGCTTCGACCAGTGCTTTTTTTTTTTTTTGCGCGATCACTCGAGGGGCTGAAGCATGTCCGCGGGCAGCGTGCACGCACTCGTACACCCACAGTGGAGTGACGCGAAGTGACGTAGCGATTGTTACAAATTTAGCGAAGGAAGCGGGCAGTGAGAAAATATTCCACAAGCCGACTGGCCATCTACTGTCATCGTCCTCACCTGCAGCGACGACTGGGCACGTGTGTGAACGAATTGGTTGATGTCAAGGGTCGTCCTCGCTGTGCTTACCAATTAGCCTCTGCAATGTGATATGCCCACATGCCCACTCTTATGCGTACGCATGCTGCAGACAGCAGGTGTCAGATTTGTCCTAGCTATGCTTACCTCAAAATATCTTCAAAGGATTGTATTCACACATGTCCGCAAGCCTCGGATAGTTTTGCCCGAGTGACTTGGAGCCTGTGCTCGACACAGGGGGGCTATGTTGCACGTTTTGGACTCCCAGAAGACTAGGGAGAAGGAAGTGACGTAGGTGTGAATGAACGTGTCTTGGCAACTTCTGCAGATACTGTCATCAGCGACTACACCAATCAACATCCAGCGAGCATCGTTGACGTCACTTCCTTCTCCCTAGTCTCCTGGGAGTCCAAAACGTGCAACATAGCCCCCTGGTGCGAGGGCTGGCTTTGCCTGCCTGAGCTCCATCTTTCTTTGCGACTACAAAAAGCTGGCCAAACTGGCACCTGGCATTGGTGAATAGGTAGTCTAGACATAAAGGGAAACCGAGGTCAGCCAGCGTGAACTTTGCTTCAGCAACAGGGTTTCAAAATGCAGCCGCAAAAAGATGCACTACATGTTGGGCACATTGCCATTGACGTTTCTGTTTCCAGCAGCTACAAAAATAAGCACTCTCATCTCAGTTTGCCCTCTTTTCCAAACTTGGTGATGTTAACCACTTGCGAGGTTCCATCAACCCAAATTTCCACTACAGAATACTGACACTTCTGGCTGCATGACCTCCACTGGGCCATGTGCAGTCAAATCATGGAATGCCTAATTTTTCTGAAACCAGTAGGGAAAATATACGAGGCAAGACATTCTCAGATGATCAGCATGGTCGACTATATATGCAGCAGACCCGACAACAAAACTCCCTGCACACAACTTTAGAAATCCATCCATTTATTTCAGGCACATTGCACTTGCGAGCAGGCAAGCACGAAAGCAAGTTTACATCACGAGCACTGGCAGTGCAACACAAGGCGCGCAAATACGCCCAACAAAAAATATGAAGCATAACGAAGAACTGTGGGCTAGTACTGTAGAAAGTTGTTAAAGATTGGTACACAACCTGTCTGCAAGGGAAGCTTGAGAAGTAGTGAGCCTATTTTTGATGGGACTGTCACATGCAAATGGCCCTTTATTATTTCTCTGCAAAGTCTCCTTTGAGTGTTATGCACTTCTAGTGGAGCCCACCCACTGAGAAAAAAGTAATTTCTCTTGGTCCTCACACCACTCACGTGCAGCGTCTATGACGGCTTCCTTGCTGGAGCGGCTGTCTTTAAAGATCTTGTTTGAGCGCAGGGAATAGATGAAAGTCCGATGGTGCCAGATCCAGTGAGTAGGGTGCCAAGGCATAAGAGTTCTAAGTCACATTCATGGAACTGCGGGGCAGGTAGTGAGACAAGCTGGAATGTCTTGGAGGAAAGTCACATCGCCCAAGTTTTCTGTGATGTTTCTCGACAATGGTGGCTCACAATTTTACAACATGCCAAGCTCGATGGATTGCTGTTAAAATGATGTGGGAAAAGTAAAACTACACACTGGCATGGTTCTTTTCTAATGTGCTTGCTTATTTTTAAGCAGGCTCACTACTTGTCAAACATTGCACATATGAATCCAATGAGAGGGGTAATCATTTTTAAGTAGCCATAAAAAAAGTGAACACTATTAGTGGTCCCAGTAAACAGGAATGAAGAGGAAGGAGTAGTAAGCCTTAGTTTGTAGACAGCGGTCAGAGCCCCATTCCTTCCTGTGTGTGTTTGTGTATTTTGCACAAGCCAATGCATATAACAGACACGTACCAACTAGTTTAACCCATCCCCATACCTATTAGTGTAAAATAACATTGAAAGTTTAAACCATGTGTACTTGGGGTCAAGAATGATGATCGTGGTCGCTGTTCTAGTGCTTAGAGCGTCTGCCCATTCCAAGTGCCCAACCCCAAATTTTATAACATTTGAAAGAAAGAAAAAAAAATGTGCACAGTACACATATATACATGTTAATATGATGACCTAACAAGCACCCATCCCCCAATGGTTTGTGACTATCTCAAAATTTTGAGTGGGCACTTGCTCGGTAGGTAGTCTGCCACATGAAATCGAATACTTCTAGCCTCTGAATTTGGGACGAAGACCATCTGTATGCTATATAGAAGCTGCCCACCAGGAAAAAGATAGCCAGGGCTGGTCAGATATACTCGAAAACCTATTCTGGAGCACAAATACTGCAATACATGTACTGCGAGGATAAAATACAAAAACAGATACAATTGTCTTCACAAGTGCAGCAAGAAAGCATTCTACAGGGTGATACAAGGAGACGCCAGGCTCTTTAAATCGACCGGAAAATTCGCTTTCTTAACCTATCGCTCTACGACTTTGTGCAGCGTTGCCCACGGATGGTGCATTTTTTTTGTAAAATTTGCAAAGAGTGATTTTACCTGAGGAAAAAGTAAAGAAAGAAAAAGGCTTAGCTCCTATGGAAACGCAGCGACGCCACTGGTCTGCAAACAACAGAGCGCCGTTTCGCATGGAGGTAGGAAGCTTGTGGAGGAGACACGACGCCCCCAACGATGAGCAAAAACCAAGAGACGCTTGTGGACGAAAAGGGGAGCTGGCTCAACAGCTGTCCAATAGCATCTCTTGGTTTTTGGTTATCATTGGGGGCGTGTCCCTCCACGCTTCTGGCTTCACCCCTGGTAACCTGATGTCGCCTCCAGAAGCTTCCTACTTCCATAGACAAGAAAGGACGCCTTTAGAGGCTGTTGTAAAATAAAAAGAAGAGAACTTGGAGATGCCCGAGCAGGAAAGAGAGAGTGGCAAACGACTTTGAGGACGAGCCGAGACCGAGGCACCGGCCCCTTTCTAGGAAACCGCGAAGAGGGACGGGGAGCCGCAAGGAGAGCGCGCCCGACTGTGGGGTCATAAATGACGAGCCCCCCTCTTGGACCTTGCTTTGTGCGGGCCACTTCTCCCTTCTTGTTTGACCGACGGTCGAAGGTGAACGTGCCTTCGCTCGCTTTACTTGAATCAGTTTTCACTAGAAATAAACCATGTTCTGTTACACTAAAAAACAATGAGTCCTTTCCCTAATTCCACACTGTTAAAAAGTTGGTGCCGAAACCCGGGAATGAAGGAAATTAGGACGTGACTTCAACGCAGAACATCCAACGACAGAAAAGGGAAAAAGACGAACGAGAAGAAGGCAGGAGCCATCTTGGATTCGCCAACGGCTGAGGCAACGAGCTCCGGACCATGGAACAACTCAAGGGGAAACGAACTGCCCTGCAAACACAGGTGACCAAACTCCTTTCTGAAATTGATTCATACATCAAAAGCAATGAGAAAAACGAAAAGAACCTCAGCATCTTTTCCGCAAGGCTTGGTGCCCTCCAAGCCCAACTGAACGAGGTGGACGCCGCCATCGAGCCACTGGTG